GGAAACCAACATAAAACTACATTTTCTGGTTTCATGTTGGTTTCCATTTCATGAAACCTTCAATTGCAATTTCTAGGAATGGAAACCAACAAGAAACCTATAACCTTAGTTTCTTGTTGGTTTCCATTTATTTAAATGCAAAAATCAAAGAATCCAAAATGGAATCTAGTTGGAAACTCAGTTACTCAGTTTCAGTGAATGGAAACCAACTGGATTCCCCATTTACCCAGTATACGGATGGTTTCCAAATTTCAGGAAACCAAGTCATTTTTGTAGTGTTTACTCCACACTTCACGCTAGAACTGTCACACCATAAATTTCACTCTCTTGACTTTACTCCACACTTCACACTAGAGCTGTCACACCAGAAACTTCACTCCAGAGGCTTTACACTAGTCTACACATCTGAAACTTCCTACTGGAGATTTCATGTCACAGACTTTACTCCAGGGATTCACACTGCCTTCCTATTACACATTTTTGGGATCCAGGCTAGAAGTCTTCTTCACCAATAACCCTTGGGTACCAGTTAAAAAGTTGTCACCATCAACCGATGAGAAACCAGCACCCTATTCCACTAAGCGATCTTAGCACTTTGACTGTCATAAGTCTATGTTAAAGTATGGGCATTACGGTGTTCTTAGTGTTACGAGGACAACAGGGCCGAGGTTGTCCCCAACAACCCTTGGGGATCTAGGTTAGAACTTGTCCCCAACAACCCCTTGGGGATCTAGGTTAGAACTTGTCCCCAACAACCCTTGGGATCTAGGTTAGAACTTGTCTCCAACAACCCTTGGAGATCTAGGTTAGAACTTGTCTCCAACAACCCTTGGGGATCTAGGTTAGAACTTGTCTCCAACAACCCCTGGGGATCTAGGTTAGAACTTGTCTCCAACAACCCTTGGGGATCTAGGTTAGAACTTGTCTCCAACAACCCTTGGGGATCTAGGTTAGAACTTGTCCCCAACAACCCCTGGGGATCTAGGTTAGAACTTGTCTCCAACAACCCCTGGGGATCTAGGTTAGAACTTGTCTCCAACAACCCTTGGGGATCTAGGTTAGAACTTGTCCCCAACAACCCCTGGGGATCTAGGTTAGAACTTGTCCCCAACAACCCCTGGGGATCTAGGTTAGAACTTGTCTCCAACAACCCTTGGGGATCTAGGTTAGAACTTGTCTCCAACAACCCTTGGGGATCTAGGTTAGAACTTGTCCCCAACAACCCTTGGGGATCTAGGTTAGAACTTGTCTCCAACAACCCTTGGAGATCTAGGTTAGAACTTGTCTCCAACAACCCTTGGAGATCTAGGTTAGAACTTGTCTCCAACAACCCTTGGGGATCTAGGTTAGAACTTGTCCCCAACAACCCTTGGGGATCTAGGTTAGAACTTGTCTCCAACAACCCTTGGAGATCTAGGTTAGAACTTGTCTCCAACAACCCTTGGGGATCTAGGTTAGAACTTGTCCCCAACAACCCTTGGGGATCTAGGTTAGAACTTGTCTCCAACAACCCTTTGGAGATCTAGGTTAGAACTTGTCTCCAACAACCCCTGGGGATCTAGGTTAGAACTTGTCTCCAACAACCCTTGGGGATCTAGGTTAGAACTTGTCCCCAACAACCCTTGGGGATCTAGGTTAGAACTTGTCCCCAACAACCCCCCATGGGATCTAGGTTAGAACTTGTCCCCAACAACCCTTGGGGATCTAGGTTAGAACTTGTCTCCATCAACCCTTGGAGATCTAGGTTAGAACTTGTCTCCAACAACCCCTGGGGATCTAGGTTAGAACTTGTCCCCAACAACCCTTTGGAGATCTAGGTTAGAACTTGTCTCCAACAACCCCTGGGATCTAGGTTAGAACTTGTCCCCAACAACCCTTGGGGATCTAGGTTAGAACTTGTCTCCAACAACCCTTGGGGATCTAGGTTAGAACTTGTCCCAAATAACCCCTGGAGATCTAGGTTAGAACTTGTCCCCAACAACCCTTGGGGATCTAGGTTAGAACTTGTCCCCAACAACCCTTGAGGGATCTAGGTTAGAACTTGTCCCCAACAACCCTTGGGGAATCTAGGTTAGAACTTGTCCCCAATAACCCTGGGGATCTAGGTTAGAACTTGCCTCCAACAACCCTTGGGGATCTAGGTTAGAACTTGTCCCCAACAACCCTTGGGGATCTAGGTTAGAACTTGTCCCCAACAACCCTTGGGGATCTAGGTTAGAACTTGTCCCCAACAACCCTTGGGATCTAGGTTAGAACTTGTCTCCATCAACCCTTGGAGATCTAGGTTAGAACTTGTCTCCAACAACCCCTGGGATCTAGGTTAGAACTTGTCCCCAACAACCCTTTGGAGATCTAGGTTAGAACTTGTCTCCAACAACCCTGGGGATCTAGGTTAGAACTTGTCCCCAACAACCCTTGGAGATCTAGGTTAGAACTTGTCTCCAACAACCCCTGGGGATCTAGTTTAGAACTTGTCTCCAACAACCCCTGGGATCTAGGTTAGAACTTGTCTCCAACAACCCTTGGGGATCTAGGTTAGAACTTGTCTCCAACAACCCTTGGGGATCTAGGTTAGAACTTGTCCCAAATAACCCCCTGGAATCTAGGTAACCCCCAACAACCCTGGGGATCTAGGTCCCCAACAGGTCTGAACTTGTCTCAACAACCCTTGGGGATCTAGGTTAGAACTTGTCCCCAACAACCCTTGGGGATCTAGGTTAGAACTTGGGGATCTAGGTCTTGTCCAACAACCCCCTGGGGATCTAGGGTTAGAACTTGGTCCCCAACCCTGGGGGAACTTGTCCCCAGCAACCCCTTAGAACTGTAGGGATCTAGGTTAGAACTTGTCTCAACAACCCTTGGGGATCTAGGTTAGAACTTGTCCCCAAATAACCCCTGAGGATCTAGGTTAGAACTTGTCCCCATCTAGGTTAGAACTTGTCCCCAACAACCCCTGGGGATCTAGGTTAAGAACTTGTCCCCCAGAACTTGGTCCTAGGAGTTAGAACCCCCAACAACCCTTGGGGGATCTAGGTTAGAACTTGTCCCCAACAACCCTGGGGATCTAGGTTGGGGGATCTAGGTTAGAACTAGGGGATCTAGGTTAAACTTGTCCCCAACAACCCTGGGGATCTAGGTTAGAACTTGTCCAACAACCCCCTCTAACAACCCTTGGGATCTAGGTTAGAACTTGTCCCCAACAACCCTCTGGGGATCTAGGTTAGAACTTGTCCCCAAATAACCCCTGGGGATCTAGGTTAGAACTTGTGTCCCCAACAACCCTTGGGGATCTAGGTTAGAACTTGTCCCCAACAACCCCTGGAGATCTAGGTTAGAACTTGTCCCCAACAAACCCCTGGAGATCTAGGTTAGAACTCCCCAACAAACCCTGGGGATCTAGGTTAGAACTTGTCTCCAACAACCCTTGGGGATCTAGGTTAGAACTTGTGTCCCCAACAACCCTTGGGGATCTAGGTTAGAACTTGTCCCCAACAACCCTTGGGGATCTAGGTTAGAACTTGTCCCCAACAACCCTTGGGGATCTAGGTTAGAACTTGTCTCCATCAACCCTTGGAGATCTAGGTTAGAACTTGTCTCCAACAACCCCTGGGGATCTAGGTTAGAACTTGTCCCCAACAACCCTTGGAGATCTAGGTTAGAACTTGTCTCCAACAACCCCTGGGGATCTAGGTTAGAACTTGTCCCCAACAACCCTTTTGGAGATCTAGGTTAGAACTTGTCTCCAACAACCCCTGGGGATCTAGTTTAGAACTTGTCTCCAACAACCCCTGGGGATCTAGGTTAGAACTTGTCCCCAACAACCCTTGGGGATCTAGGTTAGAACTTGTCTCCAACAACCCTTGGGGATCTAGGTTAGAACTTGTCCCCCAAATAACCCCTGGAGATCTAGGGTTAGAACTTGTCCCAACAACCCTTGGGGATCTAGGTTAGAACTTGTCCCCAACAACCCCCTGGGGATCTAGGGTTAGAACTTGTCCCCAATAACCCCTTGGGATCTAGGTTAGAACTTGTCACCAATAACCCTTGGGGATCTAGGTTAGAACTTGTCCCCAACAACCCTTGGGGATCTAGGTTAGAACTTGTCTCCAACAACCCTTGGGATCTAGGTTAGAACTTGTCCCCAATAACCCTTGGGGATTGGGGATCTAGGTTTGAACTTGTCCCCAATAACCCCTGGGGATCTAGGTTAGAACTTGTCCCCAACAACCCCTGGGGATCTAGGTTAGAACTTGTCCCCAACAACCCCTAAGTGGGGATCTAGGTTAGAACTTGTCCCCAATAACCCTGGGGATCTAGGTTTGAACTTGTCCCCAATAACCCCTGGGGATCTAGGTTAGAACTTGTCCCCAACAACCCCTGGGGATCTAGGTTAGAACTTGTCCCCAATAACCCCCTGGGGATCTAGGTTAGAACTTGTCCCCAACAACCCCTGGGGATCTAGGTTAGAACTTGTCTCCAACAACCCTTGGGGATCTAGGTTAGAACTTGTCTCCAACAACCCCTGGGGATCTAGGTTAGAACTTGTCTCCAACAACCCCTGGGGATCTAGGTTAGAACTTGTCCCCAATAACCCTTGGGATCTAGGTTAGAACTTGTCCCCAATAACCCTGGGGATTTAGGTTAGAACTTGTCTCCAACAACCCCTGGGGATCTAGGTTAGAACTTGTCTCCAACAACCCCTGGGGATCTAGGTTAGAACTTGTCCCCAGTAAACTATGGAGATTCAGCCCTACTTGGTTTCAACCACCCAAAGAATGTGTTCTATCAGTCTTGAAAACTGAAAGGAAATTCTGCAACATCATTTACCAACAATTTAGTTTCCAACCCGTGAGCCTTAGGAAACAGACATAGCTCATTGTAACATCTCTTCTGAAGGAGATTACCTGAAGTTACCTGATTTCATGTGATTTTGTTGACAGAGGTGTACTAAATATACTGTAGCTGACAAGGAATGTTTATACTGGAAGGACTTGTTTCAGGTCATCTGAGGAGATATTTGCCCTGTTCATCTCTATCGCCTTCTCTGTGGATGCCTTCAAGAACTGTGCCAGCAGTAAGCACTGTCCTCAGACTCTTGTTCTGTTGTATTCTCAGAGTTTGTCAATAGCCATATTTCATATCTTTTTAAAATAACATATAGAGTAAGATTGCCTGTTGCATGCATAATTGTTTTCTCTCATACATACAATGGTTAAGGAAGTCAAACCAGTATTCGTTCCACATTTTCAGATTTTGAGCAGTACTACTCTGTTCCTGCATGTTTCGCCAGCAGCAGCAACAACTCAGACAACTCTGCCCTTGTCAACATCACCACTGCCGCCACAGTCGTCAACAACACTGTCACCACCACCGCCACATCAGTAACAACTACCATCGCGAGCAACATGAGCACCACACTGGGTAATGTTACCCAGCATGCAGCAGAAGAAGTGTGTCGGAGAGACATCAGTATGTTGTATCTTGTGTTGCTGTTCGGAACTGTCTGGATCGGTGTCACGCTCTTCAACTTTAAAAATACGTAAGTGCAACGATCAAGACACCATTTTTATAGGCCTGTTTGATTTCCCAGCAACCCAGGCTGTCATTCGAGGTAAACAAGCTGATCAGCATGGGTCGATACTCTCAGTATCAGTGACTGTATTCTCTTGTCTGATAAGTTGCAGGCCACCCTCATTTATTTGTAGACTGCAACATTGAACAAACCTGAACTATCAACGTTATCTGCTGCGTCACCTGAGTTACATGTGTGATTATTTCTCCTCCAGCCCCTACCTGACATCGGGTAAGCGAGAGCTGCTGGCCGACTACTCTCTACCTGTTGCTGTCATCATCATGGCATTCTCTCTTACGTCTTCAGGGACGTCAACAGTGAGTACCAGCATCATGCAGGGCTAACACGCGATGCTGCTGTGGGGATGCACTCAGAAAGCTGTTGTGTGGAGTTGCATCCCTTGGGTATTGCAGAAAACTATAATTTGGGTTCAAATCTTGGTTCACTCTCGTTTCTAGGTTTGTCAACTAAATCGACATGCTTGAAATGATAACAACTACATCCTGCGTCACATCAGACCTTTCTCCCAACATTAAACTGACGGGAAGGATACAACTGAATGAAGGATATATGTCTAATCAAGGATATATAACTACATAAAGAATATATAACTAAATAAAGAATGTATAACTAAATATAGAATATATAACTAAAAACAGAATGTATAGCTCGATTGATATATAACTGAATGAAGAATATATAGCTGCTCAGAGTAGTTTTAATCCCAACTTGCTGTGATGGATAGTTAGATCAGGGTAATGTCCATTTTTGCCTTCAACACACCACCGTGTGATGTTAGTGTAAGCTGATGGAAGAGTACAGGAATTGGTTTTAGTCGTAGAAGCTTTGTTTCACCTGTGTCTAGATGGGTATGGCTGAGAAACTGTGCAATACTGAAGGTAGAAAACCTCATAAAATAACATGACATAACATAACAAAGCCTTTCACATGTACAGTCATGCATGTGTTTAACAAATTAATTGCTTGAATACTTTACCTCTCTTACATCATTGTCAACAGTGCTGTAATTTGGCTGTCGTCACACCAACAGAAGCTTAAGTTTTCAGCAAACTTCCTTCAGTGTCAGCCACCAGTTGTTAGGTAAACCCTATGCCTCTGGACCTGCCTGGGACAGGAATATGTTAACTTCAGATGGTGCTACAACCAACAACTGAAATTTTCAGCATGTATTCAGCACTAGTGTTCACTTTTGTTTCTTAATGATATGTCCAGTGAAAGATGGGTGCTCACTTAGACACAGCTACATCTCACACATGACTCTACATATCCACTGTCAGGAAATACTGCAGCAAAGACTAGCTGCATCACTTGTCAGTACTGGTTGCTATGGACAATCTATGATGTGGAGGGAGTATTCTTACCATTATAGCAATGCTACTATTGTCTGATTTCAGTGGGTGTCAGTTTTAACTCTGAGAGTGAGTCTGGAATTTTCAAGCTGGTGGCAATGGATGAACTTTCAATTGGTGCCATCTTTGGTGCCATGGGGCTTGGTTTTTGTCTCTCCCTCCTCTTCTTCATGGATCAGAATATATCTGCCGCCCTGGTGAACGCGCCACAGAATAAGTGAGTAAACAGCAGCTCGTTATCAGCAAAATATCCCTTCCTCATCACACTACAGACCACACAGGTAAACATTCCAGTACACTTCGACACACCACAGAACATTCTAGTAAACATCCAAAAACTCCTCAACACACCACAGACGATGTACACTGTGAAGTGAGTGAAGACTGCCTCCAGTTGTCTGTATATCTTACATACTAGTAGTACTGTATATCGGCACTTGATGTCTACACGGTGAAGTGAGTGAAGACTGCCTCCAGTACATGCCAGTAGTACTGTATATCTTACATACCAGTAGTACTGTGTATCTTACATGCCAATAGTACTGTACATCTTACATGCCAGTAGTACTGTATATCTTACATACCAGTAGTACTGTGTATCTTACATGCCAGTAGTACTGTATATCTTACATGCCAGTAGTACTGTATATCTTACATACCAGTAGTACTGTATATCTTACATACCAGTAGTACTGTATATCTTACATACCAGTAGTACTGTATATCTTACATACCAGTAGTACTGTATATCTTACATACCAGTAGTGCCTGCATATGCCAGTCTTACATACCCAGTAGTAATGTATATCTTACATGCCAGTAGTAGTACTGTACATCTTACATACCAGTAGTACTGTATATCTTACATACCAGTAGTACTGTACATCTTACATACCAGTAGTACCTATCTTACATACCAGTAGTACTGTATATCTTACATACCAGTAGTACTGTATATCTTACATACCAGTAGTACTGTATATCTTACATACCAGTAGTACTGTATATCTTACATACCAGTATACCAGTAGTACTGTACATCTTACATACCAGTAGTACTGTATATCTTACATACCAGTAGTACTGTATATCTTACATACCAGTAGTACTGTATATCTTACATGCCAGTAGTACTGTGTATCTTACATACCAGTAGTACTGTATATCTTACATACCAGTAGTACTGTATATCTTACATACCAGTAGGTACTCTGTATATCTTACATGCCATACATGCCAGTAGTACTGTATATCTTACATACCAGTGGTACTGTACATCTTACATACCAGTAGTACTGTACATCTTACATACCAGTAATAGTACTCTTAGTAATATGTATCTTACATACCAGTAGTACTGTACATCTTACATACCAGTAGTACTGTATATCTTACATACCAGTAGTACTGTATATCTTACATACCAGTAGTACTGTGTATATCTTACTTATACCAGTAGTACTGTATATCTTACATACCAGTAGTACTGTATATCTTACATGCCAGTAGTACTGTACATCTTACATACCAGTAGTACTGTATATCTTACATACCAGTAGTACTGTACATCTTACATACCAGTAGTACTGTATATCTTACATGCCAGTAGTACTGTATATCTTACATACCAGTAGTACTGTATATCTTACATACCAGTAGTACTGTATATCTTACATACCAGTAGTACTGTATATCTTACATACCAGTAGTACTTACATACCAGTATATCTTACATGCCAGTAGTACTGTATATCTTACATACCAGTAGTACTGTATATCTTACATACCAGTAGTACTGTATATCTTACATGCCAGTAGTACTGTATATCTTACATACCAGTAGTACTGTATATCTTACATGCCAGTAGTACTGTATATCTTACATACCAGTAGTACTGTGTATCTTACATGCCAATAGTACTGTATATCTTACATGCCAGTAGTACTGTATATCTTACATACCAGTAGTACTGTATATCGGCACTGGATGTCTACAGGATGAAGAAGGGGACGGCCTACCACTGGGACCTGCTGGTGATTGCTGCTGTCAACGCAGCCCTGTCCCTGGTGTGTTTCCCGTGGGTGCATGCCGCCCTGCCCCACAGCCCCCTGCATGTGCTGGCTCTGGCTGATGTGGAGGAGAGAGTGGAACAAGGCCACATCTCACGAATGTAAGTCTGTCCAGGGCTCATCATTTATGTAAGAATATGTCAGTGTTGCATCATCTGTGCCATGAAATGCCAGTTTTCACACCATTTCTAATGGGACATATGACGGAGCTCGTATCACATCACTGTTAGTTCTACAAAGGTTCTACATGGAATGATACCATCCTGATAAATTACTTCATATATCCTTAACCAAAATCAATCCAATTCTGTTGAGATATTTTAGTATGTTATGTGATGTTTCATTACTGTGAAAATATCTCTGTTAAGGTTAAACTTTATTTTGATGTTTCAGTATTGTGAGGGTTCGAGAAACTCGACTCACAGCCATCTTCTCCCACATCCTGATCGGCCTAAGCCTGCTGTTTATGCCAGTGTTGGCGTATATCCCGACTCCGGTCCTGTACGGCCTGTTCCTGTACGTAGCCGTCACTGCTCTCCATGGCAACCAGATGTTTGAGAGAGTCATGCTCTTCTTCACAGAGCAGGTTAGTCCAACTTCCAACACACTAGTGTCCCGTGTACACGGATTGTTGTGGGGTACACCTTTGCTTCTGATGTAATGTCATACTCAGCAGTTTTGTATTTGATGTCAGCCTGTAAATAATCAACATCACACAATCAAGTGATTAATGTAAACATTCAGAGATGCCAACTCTTAAACTTTAGGCGTAATTATTACGATTTTGAACATTACATTACGCCATTACACTTAATCTGAGAAAATTACGCTTTTCTACTCGTTTTTCGAAAATCAGTTAAGTGGATAAATTTTCACAGGGAAGTGTTTCGTAACGCACAGGTGCAGGGGTGCAGAAATGGCCTTGCACCAATAGGAATCGCTTACTCTTAGCATCTCACTCATTCCAATTAACTTGCAAGGAATTAAAGTGTGTTGAGTCACATGACCAACAATTTTCGATGTATGGAGATTCATAATGATTGGTCACATGTGTTTCTGTCTAGAATCTTCCTTTCGTGAAAACGCGTACCATGTTGAAGCTGATCGGCAGACAAGTATTACACTTTTAGGTCCAAATTACACTCTAACATAGTGGAACACTTAGATCTCCCTAATTGAAGCTCCCTTCAATTTAAAATCACACTAATTAGTATTCACCACGAAGCTACCTCCTTTCCACTGGCTGAACGAAGAGGGCTTCACCTCTTACCCATGTGCCTCTACTCTTCCTTCTTCACCAGTGAGCTGGACGTGAGAGCTTCTGTGTCTCCGACACACTATATCCTTTGTTTTATATTTAGTTAGTTACCCTCGTGATAGACATCTATAGAGGTTTAGCTAGTATCCTTCAACGATTATATATTGATATTTAGTGCGCTTTTCTACAGTTTATTCACGGGGACGTGTTTGTTTCAAGGGATTACGCTTGATGAAAATTCTGTACTATTGCAGATTACGTTTTTATGCTGCTGCTGATCCACCTTTAATATGATGTACCGCCGTCCATGTTTATTATATTCACACTGCAGTTAAGCGGTACTAATTTATCCAATTCTACCTTTTTATTAATATTTGCTGCGTTTGGCGCGGCACGCGACCAGCAGATAGGTCGCGATGCAGAGTCTAGTATGACTGATACACGGAACCCTCGCCAGTCTACTGCTGTTGGCGACTCCCCTCCGTGTGGTGTTCCGCTAGAGTGGTGGAGAGGTGTGGGATCGTGATCCGCCATCTCCAAGAAGCATCCTGCTTCTTCCTGGTGACATCCCATCGCCGCAGCAGAAGACTAGAGGGTTTTTCTACTACATCTCAACAACAGGGACCGTTCCCATCGCCAGTTTTGGGCCTGTATGATGATCAGCCGGTCATCATACCGGGTTGTACATCAAAGATTGACCGATGTCGGCTGAGATCAGCATGCAGCCTGATGTACCAACGCGAGATGGGCGATCGCCCTGAGGGTCCCATCATTACCAACACTCCACGCAGACGTCGCTTTACCCAGGGCAGCGCCGACCTCTGAGGGAAAATCAACGAAGTCTACTAGGACTTTCTCAACGAGATTGTTCCAACCGATGACCTGGTTACTCTACGATGATCAGCTGATCATCATCCCCACGACGTTTCACAAAGAAACGACCGTGACAGCTGGCTAACGACATCAGCAGAGATCACCATGCAGCCTGATGCCTCTACACTGATGTCGGACGATTTTCCGGTGGACCCTCCATTAACACCGCAGATAAAGCACCGACTGGTAATCGCCGTGAGACCATCCCAGAAGACATGATGCGACAAATTGGCGAACATCATGGAGGACCAATATCTGCGGTAGCAGGGTCCGAGTTTCCGGCGAAGGCTCCAACGACAGCAACACCCAGAGGCACCCCGTCAACGTAGCAGCCAGGACGATGTCACCTTCGCGAAGGAAGTCAATGGACCACCTTTGGACGACGGACCTAAGATGTACAGCCTTGCGAAGGCCTTCGCCGAGGTAGGAAAGGACCTAGATGTACAGCCTTCGCGGCGGAAAGAACCCTAGATGTACAGCCTTAGCGAAGGACTTAGGCAGGATAGATCATCACCTTATGCGGTTTCATCCCTAGATGTGGACTCGGACCATCAGACATCCACGGAAGCCTTCGCGAAGGTCATATCAAGTCGTTCCCGGACCGGACGCCAGAGGAAGCTTCGCCGGGCGCATCTTATGAGACACCTGAATCAGATCATCATCATCTAGAAGGACATCGAGGGACTATACAAAAGAGCTTCGCTTGAAACTATCAACGTTCCCCTCACAAGTCTCCGGAAGATCAACCCATAGACAAGTTGATCATCGATATCAAGTATAAGAACTACAATGATATAATTGGTTCTGTTGAATCCATGGCGAGGTGATGTTCGCTTGCCTAAATAGATCTAGAAGCGATCAATTAGACACTTATCACCAGACTTAGTAACCGACTTCTGAATATAAGATGATCCATGCGCGGCCCTACCAAGCAAGCGGCAGCGATCCCACATCCTGTTAAACACAGAGGCTGTTCAATGGCAAAGCTCATATATATATTTATATATATATATATATACTAATCGGGCTTTTGACTCCGACACCTTGCTAGCGATGGTCGAAGGCTAAGTGGCTCCAAGTCTACTTCACCCAGAAGATCTAGAAGGGATACTTCGAGAACTTCGCGAAGTCTCCGCGTTCACCGAGGAAGTCTCCTCCAAGGTTTCCATATACTAGCCACTTTCGTCATATATAGCTACTTCAATCGTCAGTCCGTTTCAAGGCGTCGCATAAGTTGATTATCAACTGTATGCCAGATGCGATCTATAAGCCTACGCTTGAAGATAATTGCTTAGGCTATTTACAACACAGAGCGTCGGCTGTATTATTAGTCAGCGACATTTCGCCAGATCTTCACAGAAATCAACTATTCGTATAAATTGCTAATATACAATCCGACGACGATCGATTATCTACATGCGTGACCATTACGCATATCTGCAGACAATTCAATCTCGAAATTGAACAGCAGCCTTGTTACAGCCAGTATAACTCTTAATCGTCCAAAGTTTCTGAGGAAGAAATATGGCCACAACAAGTTCAACGTTAATTCTACAATTATGACGATACATTCATGTATACAGTCTACAAGCTCACAACTTGCAAGTTGTTTATACCCTTATATATAAGGAAGTCGGAATTATATTCAAAACTGAAATTATTTTCACGACAACCAGGAAAATAACCTACCCAGCATAAAATTTACAGAGGCGAGATATTTCGGCGGAGGTTTCAAGGCGGTTACCATTAACCCTCCGAAACCGTGGTCACTCGGATAACTTCGAAGCTACGGTGAAGACCGGCGTTTATGCTAATATCAGCGGCGACAAGAATTTATTCAAGGTGGGTTTTTTCCGCTACACCGGGTGACATCACCGTAGCGGGTATTTATACAGAATCAAAATGCCTTGTTCTGATTGGACCGCGAGGACAACGACCTACACAGAGGTCGATCTCTGTTCTACAGTTCAAGACTTACGTCACAAGTGACAACTATATATCAGTGAACGAAAGCAAGCCTCATTACAGTCCAGTTAACCTGAACATTGATTAGACTGCCTTTCTTCAAGTTAGAGACCTCCCCTGTCAAGTTAAGGCGAGGGATCGGCAGTCAGGCGATTTTACATAAAGTTCAGCGAGGACAGACACACCTGGTTGTGCACCTACATCGTCAAGGATTTCGCGGCGAATTACCTGGACGCAGAGAAGATACAAGTGGATCTAAATCCACAGCGTTTTCAGACTACAGCTGAATTTCATCAAGCGACTAACACAACTAGATGGTTAGTAAACCTACTAAACTTCTGTTTGGAGAATAAAACGGAAATTTCACGCCAACCTGGGGATATGAATATAGTGCTCCAACACCTCACAAGTGAGGTTTATGAACAAGCCTGGATGACATACTTGGACCCCAGTATTAATGATGATTCTATCAAGATGGCCAGCAAGAGCACTGTAAAATTTATCTCCACCAAACCAAACAGGAGGAAAAATGCAACAGATTTTTCCTCTATCATCAACTTACAGAGTGAAGTCTCGTGTACTATATCTCCATTTGGATCAGAACTGTCATACTAACGTGCATATGCGGATGGACCTATTCCGACCTCCATGAGCTTAATACTCATGATATTATAGCGCTAACTTCTAGAATTGTTCTACACAAATGTGATTGAAATAATGGAGGGTTTATTTCTGGAAATCGATATGGTGGTTGCAAACCATTATCTGAGAGATATCACCACCGAGGGCGTCTCAGGTATACACCAATTAGATCCATGGTCCTCAGCACAACAGCTGACAGTTCCTCGGAGAAGATAAGTCAATCTAACAGATTTTTACTTATCTTATAACAATACTAAATAGCTTCATGCTATATATAATTTACTTAAGTTCCTTTTATCATCACAGTACTATGATTATTACATCATACAATATATAAGTTAACAACTCTACAGAGTTTGTTATTATATATATTTACCTTAAGTTATTCATATCTTAAGAGTAATACTATGGTTACATGATAAATGCATTAGCTAACAAACTCTACAGAGTTTTTGGCTATTTTATACATAGCTTAAGTTAATTAAGCTAACAAACTCTCTGAGTTTTACTATTATATAGGTAACTTAAGCTAATTATACCTTAAGCATAGTACTATACTCATATTATTAAAATATATTGGCCAACAAACTCTAAGGAGTTTTGCTATTATATAGGTAGCTTAAGCTTATTCATATCTTAAGCTTTTCTAGTACTATGTTTATATCATATAAGTAGATTAGCTAACAAACTCTAAAGAGTTTTTTTTTGCTATTTGGCTTAAAGTATCATCATATTTCTAAGCAATATGGTTATATTATAACATGTATTAGCTAACAAACTCTACAGAGTTTTAGCTATTATATATGTAACTTAAAGCTTATTCATATCTTAAGCGCAGTACTATGTTTATATCATATAGGTATATTAGCTATCAAAACTCTAAAAGAGGGTTTTGCTTTTATATATTTAAGCTTAAGTTTCATCATATTTTAAGCTTTATGGTTTACATTATAACATGTATTAGCTAACAAACTCTCACGGAGTTCTTGCTATTATATATGTAGCTTAAGTTTTCCTTCATAAGCTCAATACTAGGTTTATATCATAGCTAACAAACTCTAAAGGGTTGTTTTGGCTATTATACAATTAGCTTAAGTTTTCATCATATCTTAAGCAGTATGTTTACATTATAAGGTATTAGCTAACAAAACTTCATGAGGAGTTTTGTTATTGTATATATATATAGCTTAAGTTTCATCATAACTTAAGCTCAGTACTATGTTTTTTTAACATAAAAAGTATATTAGTTAATAAACTCTAAGGAGTTTATTTTGCTATATACATTTAGCTTAAGTCTAATCTTATCTTAAGCTTAGTACTATGGTTACACTATAAACATATTAGCTAATAAACTCTACAGAGTTTTTTGGCTATTATATATGTAGCTTAAGTTCATTATATCTTAAGCACACTACTATACTCATATTGTAAAATATATTAGCTAACAAACTCTACGGAGTTTTGCTATTATATATGTAGCTTAAGTTAATTATATCTTAAGCACACTACTATACTCATATTGTAAAAATATATTAGCTAACAAAACCCTACAGAGTTTTGCTATATATATGTAGCTTAAGTTAATTATATCTTAAGCTCAGTACTATACTAATATTATAATATATATTAGCTAACAAACTCTACAGAGTTTGGCTATTATATATGTAGCTTAAGTTAATTATAGCTTAAGCACAGTACTATACTCATATTATAAAATATATTAGCTAACAAACTCTACAGAGTTTGGCTATTATATATGTAGCTTAAGTTAATTATAAGCTTAAGCACAGTACTATCTCATATTATAAAAATATATTAGCTAACAAACTCTACAGAGTTTTTGCTATTATATATATAGCTAAAGCTTATTCATATCTTAAGCTCAGCATTATATCTATATCATATAAGTATATTAACTAACAAACTCTAAAGAGTTTGCTATTATATAATTAGCTTAAGTTTAATCCTTATCTTAAGCTTAGGACTATGTTATATCTTAAAGTATTTTGGCTAACAAACTCTAAGGAGTTTATACTAGCATATTAACAAGCTTAAGTCTATTAGTCTTAAGCATTGTATTAATGTTATATATACTTTATCATAATAAGTACATGGTAATAACCTTTTATATGGCAGCTGATAAGTTGATGCAGGAATTCATCAGTTCAGTGCCTTTATGAAGTTCCCATAGGAGTTATTACAATCATCACCAGTTCAAATCACTAATTATTAAAAATCCAAAGTATTAGTATTCCCACCTCCGTTCATTAGGATGCTACAAGCAAAAGAGCATGAGTCAGGATAAGGAAAAATATGTAATTTTGGAGTAAAATTGATATTTTATACTTATCCTGACTCATGAGGGTCAGCCCCTCCCATCCTCCCAAATAACACTTTGGATTTCCCTGTAAATTCAAATGTTGGGCTCAGTATATGAGGAGAGAGTGAGGCACATGGGTAGAGGTGGCGCCCTCGTTCCCGCGCTTGTGGAAAGGAGGTAACTCGTGGTGAATACTAATTAGTGATTTTAAATTGAAGGGAGCTTCAATTAGGGAGATACAAGTGTTCCACTATGTTCGCAAGAAGAAGAAGACAAGCAAAAAGAGCATGAGTCAGGATAAGTATAAAATATCAATTTTACTCCAAAAATTACATTTTTGACCTCTAGTATTACACTTAGGCCCCAAATAGGGTTGGCATCTCTGAACATTGATCCATGTATTGGGGATAAACTGACACACAATCCACTAAGTCACCAAGCCTGACCAACCAATCCATTTGGTTTCCTCCTGTTACCAGGATTGGTTGTTGGGGCCTGTTACCAGGATTGGTTGTTGGGGCCTGTTACCAGGATTGGTTGTTGGGGCCTGTTACCAGGATTGGTTGTTGGGGCCTGTTACCAGGATTGGTTGTTGGGGCCTGTTACCAGGACTCCTGCAGGTGGTTAGATATGGGCATGCACAGAAAGATTCCCATTTCTGGCAGAAATTCAGGCATTATGGAACCGAGGGCAGTGGTGTTAGATTTTCAAAAGAAGTATCAGATGATTGCTGTCTTAAAATCTCTGACTGGTTCAAATTACAAGTATGTAGATAAATTAGTAGATATGATTGATGATATTTTACAGTTTATTAAACACTGCTTGGCAGGATGTCCTTGACCATTTCTTTCACAAGTCATGTCATACTCCCTACATCCTTACCTCAAGATGTATCACAAGCCACTTTGATTTATCATCATCTATTTAATGTTTTAAGCTTTGGGAAGAAAGTCTTCAACATAGAAATACATAGGCAACATGGCAGCAGGTATATCCTTTCTTTCTGTATTGGACTGACTAGGCAGTATGATGAGAGACACATGCTGACTTCTTGTTCTTCACAGGCTGCCTACCCACCCTACCACTACATCCGGCGGGTGCCCCAACGTAAGATGCACATCTTCACCCTCACACAGTTGTTCCAGCTAGCCGTCCTGTGTGGCTTCGGTTTCTCCAACTATCCATACCTCAAGATGTTCTTCCCTGTCCTCATCTTCTTCCTTATACCCATCAGGTAATATATAGCTATACTCCCTACCTCAAGATGTCCTTATACCCATCAGGTAATATATAGCTATACTCCCTACCTCAAGATGTTCTTCCCTGTCCTCATCTTCTTCCTTATACCCATCAGGTAATATATAGCTATACTCCATACCTCAAGATGTCATTATACCCATCAGGTAATATATAGCTATACTCCCTACCTCAAGATGTCATTATACCCATCAGGTAATATATAGCTATACTCCCTACCTCAAGATGTCATTATACCCATCAGGTAATATATATAGCTATACTCCCTACCTCAAGATGTCCTTATACCCATCAGGTAATATATAGCTATACTCCCTTCCTCAAGATGTCATTATACCCATCAGGTAATATATAGCTATACTCCCTTCCTCAAGATGTCATTATACCCATCAGGTAATATATAGCTATACTCCCTACCTCAAGATGTCCTTATACCCATCAGGTAATATATAGCTATACTCCCTACCTCAAGATGTCCTTATACCCATCAGGTAATATATAGCTATACTCCCTACCTCAAGATGTTCTTCCCTGTCCTCATCTTCTTCCTTATGCCCATCACGTAATATATAGCTATTCCCCCTACCTCAAGATGTCCTTACACCCATCAGGTAATATATAGCTATACTCCCTACCTCAAGATGTCATTATACCCATCAGGTAATATATAGCTATTCTCCCTACCTCAAGATGTCCTTATACCCATCAGGTAATATATAGCTATTCTCCCTACCTCAAGATGTCCTTATATTCACTAGGTAATATATAGCTATACTCCCTACCTCAATATGTCCTTATATTCACTAGGTAATATATAGCTATACTCCCTACCTCAAGATGTCCTTATATTCACTAGGTAATATATAGCTATACTCCCTACTTCAAGATGTCCTTATATTCACTAGGTAATATATAGCTATACTCCCTACTTCAAGATGTCCTTATATTCACTAGGTAATGCATAGCTATACTCCATACCTCAAGATGTCCTTATATTCACTAGGTAATGCATAGCTATACTCCTTACCTCAATATGTCCTTATATTCACTAGGTAATACATAGCTATACTCCCTACCTCAAGATGTCCTTATATTCACTAGGTAATATATAGCTATACTCCCTTCCTCAAGATGTCCTTATATTCACTAGGTAATACATAGCTATACTCCCTACTTCAAGATGTCCTTATATTCACTAGGTAATATATAGCTATACTCCCTTCCTCAAGATGTCCTTATATTCACTAGGTAATATATAGCTATACTCCCTACTTCAAGATGTCCTTATATTCACTAGGTAATGCATAGCTTTACTCCTTACCTCAATATGTCCTTATATTCACTAGGTAATACATAGCTATACTCCCTACCTCAAGATGTTGTTATATTCACTAGGTAATATATAGCTATACTCCCTTCCTCAAGATGTCCTTATATTCACTAGGTAATATATAGCTATACTCCCTACTTCAAGATGTCCTTATATTCACTAGGTAATGCATAGCTATACTCATGACCTCAAGATGTCCTTATACTCATTAAAAAATTTTAATAGTTTTGTTAGCACACTGTAGGTGACTGTTTGAGTCATAAATTTGCCTCACAATTCTCTTTTGTGTATCTATTTTCTATTTGCATTTTTACCTTTTCAGACACAAGATTATACCCAAGTTGATTGATGCCAAGTTCTTAAACGCTATGGACGGCCACTAGTAATATGTTCTGGTTGTGCAGACTCAGGTGTGATAAAGATACAGTTGTGTTGTGATCAGAGACATGGGTGTGATGTGGTCAGAGATACACATATTTGATGACAGAACCAAACTTGTATTAGGAGAGAAATGAGTTTGAAGAATTCCACATTGACCGGTATTAACTTGGTGCCTTTCATGAATGCCCTATCAAATGGACAGCCTACTGCTCACTTCTACATCAGGACAGTGGGCACTTTCGTAAAACGGAAAACTATGGGTGTGGTAAAACAAACCAAAACAGAACAGCTACTTCACTCCTGGTACTTACTATGAGAAGTTTGATACAGTGCAGTTGTGATAGTAAACATCTATAATTACGTTCTCTGTGTTGGTAGGCAACATCAACGATGGGCTCAATTCAGTCTGTGATTTTCTGTTCTGTGTTTCACAGTCAACACACTGAATGTTTTGTCATGTATTGTTGTCCAGTTTTCAATGTGATTCATATATTGTTATATTTTTGAAAGCTGATGTAGTTTTTAACAAGGAATGCGGTTTGGCAACAGTAATGTTGAGTGCTAGCTGGACTGTAGTGCTGGTGTTTAATGCTCAAGTTTGTGCTGGCTATTGTATTCTGTATCAATATAGTCCTGATTTTACTCAATGTAATCATTTGAATTTAATGTCACAGAATTTATCCATTGCAGAAGATTCTTTTTTATCAGCATTTGTACAGGCTCAACTGTGTCAGTTTACTTCTCTGGTTGTGTTTGTACTATTTAAATTGCTTTGATGTTTTAATTGATTGTTAAGAGCCAGATATGTTGTCAGCACAGAATATGTAACATTAATGAGCATTATTTTTTGTACCCATAAAATCTTAAAACAGATGTTTAAAATGCTGTATGTTTTTAATGTTATGTTTTATAATCAGATATGATGTATTGTGTTTGTATTACCTGATGTATGTGATGATGTATTACAGGATGTACATAGTCTACTTGTTGTTTGTACTGTGTTTCATAGAGGACCGGTACATCGCCATGTTGTAAATGTGATACGCATTCATTCAATCAGATTTCACACCACTTGTTGACTACTCTGCTGTTGGGATTGTGTTTGATTGATTTTAACTGGTTATGCAACAATGTGTTTTTTAATCCTTCTGCAGGGGTTCCAGGCATCCTTCTGCAGGGTTCCAGGCATTCTTCTGCAGGGTTCCAAGCATCCTTCTGCAGGGTTTCAGGGGTTCGGCCCTTCTGCAGGGTTCCAGGCATCCTTCTGCAGGGTTCCAGGGTTCCAGGCATCCTTCTGCAGGGTTCCAGGCATCCTTCTGCCGGGTTCCAGGCATCCTTCTGCAGGGTTCCAGGCATCCTTCTGCAGGGTTCCAGGCATCCTTCTGCCGGGGTTCCAGGCATCCTTCTGCAGAGTTCCCAGGGCCCCTATTCTCGAAAGTGTCCCAGCTAAGACAGATCCTAAGTAGTTAAGACAGAAGTTAGGACATCCTACCGTAAGGATAAGACCCATTCTCGAAATGATCCTATCCCTGTCCTAACTTGTGCTACCTATCCTAGCTAGGATAGCGAGCTCTTCAGTAGGTGAGATAGAAAAACCTTCATTTAGTTGGGGATTCCCCTAAATAATACCCATGATTCGTGGCATAAAAAAACACATAATATAAAGAAATTCAGCTTTTGATGGACTTAGTAGATATAGAAGAAATTATTCGATATTTTCATCACATTATAGTAATTGGAAAATTCATTTTTTGACAAGGCGATAACAATTTTACTTCAGAATTTGAAAGTCTGCCAAAAAGAAATAAGGATATTAAAGATATGTGTAAAAACATATTTTCATTGTATTTGTTTTTTTTATGAAAATCATGACTTGAACTCTCATTATGCGTCATCTCACAAACTGAAAAATTCACCTAGGAAATAAACAGGAGTTACTTCCCCTATCAAGTTGGCCTTGACATTGACATTAACGTGAATGTGACTGAAAAGAGCAATGCTGTGATTAAAAAGGCCGAGAATAGGTAAGAATTGAACAAATCTCTTTTGTAGATCTAAAGAATGCGTGCATTGCAACAAGTGTGTCTATTCATTACCGATTAATTGATAATATGAACTGAAGAAACTCTTCATAACTCATCAAAACTGTGTACTGTTGTGAATTCAAATGTAAGTTTGACGAGTTATTTTGTTTGACGTCAAAATTGGTGAACAAACAAGTACCACTCTATGTTGACTTACACTAAGACAGACTTAGGACACGTCAGAACCTATCCTAGTATTTGTCCTAAGTTAGGACATCCTAGCGCTAGGATACTTTTCGAGAATAAGGTAGGACACCTATCCTAGACCCTAGGATCAAAGTTAGGACATCCTTGGGCTAGGATCCTTTCGAGAATAGGGGCCCAGGCATCCTTCTGCCGGGTTCCAGGCATCCTTCTGCAGGGTTCCAGGCATCCTTCTGCAGGGTTCCAAGGCATCCTTCTGCAGGGGTTCCAGGTTCTGATTGTTGACTCTTCATCCAGATCTGTCTTCTAGATGGCTAGCCTGACAGCGCAGTAGGGACAGAGTGTATTATACAAGACTGTCAGACAATAAAAGACATGGAATTGACACAGTCTCTGAGGTGTTTACTGCAAGCTGCACCTCCTGGTGGCCCGTCTCTGTCACATGATTCTCCCTGTCTCCTGTAGTAGAGTCTATACATAGAGCCCAGCTTCTCACAAACACCATTAACAATCCTATCATTAGGACACTTTGCTGACTTTTAATACAAGTCCTTACAATGTTGGTTTTCACTGACACACACTTTCTCCTGACTGGTTGTATACAGTGTGTGAAATAGCCATTGGCCCGCTAGCCCGTGGCTAGTAAACATCCAGTCGGGACAGTAAACCTCCATAGGTACTGGCCCGACTGGCTGGTGAATTTTCATGGGGTCATTTTGTAAATATATCACTCTCTCCGACTTGTTAAGTTATAATAAACTTTTATCATATTAGCAGCTTAATGATGAAACCCGTGTCTACATTCAAATTTCGGGCTAGCGAATTATTTTGTCACCTTGTAGCTTTCAGGCATAACTAGCCCGACTGGCTAGCAACATTTGGAAACAATTTCGCGCACTGGTTGTACATATACAGAGAAGCCAGCATTTCATCTACATAGCATTTCCCCACTGTCCCATAACGTTTCCCCACTGTCCCATACATTTCCTCATTGTCCCATAGCATTTCCTCACTGTCCCATAGAGTTTCCTCACTGTCCCATACATTTCCTCACTGTCCCATACATTTCCTTACTGTCCCATACATTTCCTCACTGTCCCATAGCCTCACTGTCCCATAGCATTTCCTTATTTCCCCATAACGTTTCCCCACTGTCCCATACATTTCCTCATTGTCCCATAGCATTTCCTCACTGTCCATACAATTCCTCATTGCCCCATAGTGTTTCCTCGCTGTCCCATAGCATTTCCTCACTGTCCCACAGAGTTTCCTCACTGTCCCATAGAGTTTCCTTATTGCCCATAACGTTTCCTTGCTGTCCCATACATTTCCCCACTGTCCCATAGCATTTCCTCACCGTCCCATAGAGTTTCCTCACTGTCCATAGCGCGTTCCTCACTGTCCCATAGCATTTCCTCACTGTCCCAGCAGCTTTCTCATTCCTATTCTGAGTCATAGCGTTTCCTCAAAGCTGTCCCATACATTTCCTCTACTGTCCCATACATTTCCTCACTGTCCCATAGCATCACAATAGTCCCATAGCATTTCCTTGTTGCTTACCCATAACGTTTCCTCACTGTCCCATACATTTCCTCATTGTCCATAGCATTTCCTCACTGTCCATACAATTCCTCATTGCCCTATAGTGTTTCCGCTGTCCCATAGCATTTCCCTCACCGTCCCATAGCCTTTTCCTCACTGTCCCATAGAGTTTCCTCATAGTCCCTCCTTTCCCATAGGTTCCTCACTGTCCACAGGTTTCCTCACTGTCCCATAGCATTTGTCCTCCTGTCCTATAGCATTCCCTCCGTCCATGTTTCCTCACTCCTCCGCATCACTTTTCCTCACTGTCCCATAGTTTTTCCTCACTGTCCCATAGCATTTCCTCACTGTCCCATAGCATTTCCTCACTGTCCCGTTAGCCTCAGTCCATCCCATAACGTTTTCTCACTGTCCCATTACTCCACTGTCCTATAGCATTTTCCCACTCATAGCTGTCCCTGTTTCATCGCGTTTTCCTCGCTGTCCCATTTTCATCGGTGTTTCCTCACGTTTCCTCCTGTCCATTGGCTGGTCTCACTGTCCCATTCCTCCACCTCACTGTCCGCATTCCCCACTGTCCTATAGCATTTCCCTCATTGCCCGTTCCGTTTCCTAAGCTGTTTCCATTTCACTGTCCCATACATTTCCCTCATTCCCCGATGTCATTCTCCCAGCATTTCTCATTGTCCATAGCATTCACCTCATTTCCTCACCGTCCCATAGCATTTCCCTCATTGCTTTCACCGTCCCATACATTTCCTCGCTTCGTCCCATACGTTTCCTCACTGTCCCATACATTTCCTCACTGTCCCATAGCATTTCCTCACCGTCCGTTTTCTCCTGTCCACGCATTTTCCTCATTGCCCCGTAGATTTCCATAGTTTTCATTGTCCCATACATTCATTGTCCCATAGTTTCCCTCACTGTCCCATTAGCATTTCCTCACACTGTCCATACGTTCCATTGTCCCATCCCTTCCCCACTTCCCATTTCATTTTCTTCATTGTCCATTTTCCTGTCCCTTTCCTCCTCACTGTCATAGCTTTTTCATCCACGTCCATTCCTCGCTGTCCCGCGTTTCCTCACTCGTCCATAGCATTTCCCTCATTGTCCCGTAACGTTTCCTTTGCTGTTCCACTAGCATTTCCTCGTCCCATAGCATTTCCTCACCGTCCCATATTTTTCCTCATTGCCATAGTTTCCTCATTGTCCCATAGCATTCCTCACTGTCCCATAGCATTTCCTCACTGTCCCATAGGTTTCCTCACTGTCCCATGCACACCTCTCTACCGTCCCATACATTTCCTCACTGTCCCATACATTTCCTCACTGTCCCATAGCCTTGTCCATTGTCCCATAGCATTTCTCACTGTCCCCGTAGTTTCCTCCCTTCCATAGCATTTTTCCTCACTGTCCATAGCGTTTCCTCACTGTCCCATAGCATTTCCTCATTGTCCCATAGCATTTCCTCATTGCCCATGGTTTCCTCACTGTCCCATAGCGTTTCCTCACTGTCCCATAGCATTTCTCTCACTGTCCCATAGCATTTCCTCACTGTCCCATAGCATTTCCTCACTGTCCCATAGCATTTCCTCACTGTCCTATATAGCATTTCTCACTGTCCCATACATTTCCTCACTGTCCTATACATTTCCTCACTGTCCCATAGCATTTCCTCACTGTCCCATAGCATTTCCTCCCTGTGTCCATAGCATTTCCTCACTGTCCTATATTTCCTCACTGTCCCATAGCATTTCCTCACTGTCCCATAGCATTTCCTCACTGTCCCATAGCATTTCACTGTCCCATAGCATTTCCTCATTGCTGTCCTATAGCATTTCCTCATTGTCCCATAGCATTTCTCACTGTCCCATAGCATTTCCTCAATGTCCCATAGCATTTCTCACTGTCCCATAAGCATTTCCTCACTGTCCCATAGCATTTCCTCACTGTCCCATACATTTCCTCACTGTCCCATAGCATTTCCTCACTGTCCCATACATTTCCTCACTGTCCCATACATTTCCTCACTGTCCCATACATTTCCTCACTGTCCCATAGCATTTCCTCACTGTCCCATAGCATTTCCTTCATCGCTGTCCCATACATTTCTCACTGTCCCATAGCATTTCCTCACTGTCCCATAGAGCATTTCATTTCATCCCCATAGCATTTCCTCACTGTCCCATAGCATTTCTCATCCTATGTCCCATAGCATTTCCCTCTCACTGTCCCATAGCATTTCCTCACTGTCCCATAGCATTTCCTCACTGTCCCATAGCATTTCCTCACTGTCCCATAGCATTTCCTCATTGTCCCATAGCGTTTCCTCACTGTCCCATAGCATTTCCTCACTGTCCCATAGCATTTCCTCATTGTCCCATAGCATTTCCTCACTGTCCCATACATTTCCTCATTGTCCCATTGCATTTCCTCACTGTCCCATACATTTCCTCACTGTCCCATAGCATTTCCTCACTGTCCCATAACGTTTCCCCACTTTCCCATACATTTCCTTCATTGTCCCATTGCATTTCCCCACTGTCCCATAGCGTTTCCTCATTGTCCCATAGCATTTCCTCACTGTCCCATAGCATTTCCTCACTGTCCAATAGCATTTCCTCATTGTTCCTCATTGTCCCATAGCATTTCCTCATTGTTCCTCATTGTCCTATTGCATTTCCTCACTGTCCCATACATTTCCTCATTGTCCCATAAAGGGCGGTTGGGGGTTCCTCACTATCCTCACGCCGAAGACATTTCATGGGCACAATAAGTTTAAGTTCATTTCTGGTGTCCCCTCATTGCGGATATTGCTGGAATATTGCTAAAGCGTGTAAACCAAAACCCATACAGTAGTCAGTCATTGTCCCATAACATTTCCTCACTGTCCCATAGCATTTCCTCATTGTTCATCATTGTCCCATTGCCTTTCCTCACTGTCCCATAGCATTTCCTCATTGTTCCTCATTGTCCTATTGCATTTCCTCACTGTCCCATACATTTCCTCATTGTCCCATAACGTTTCCCCACTTTCCCATACATTTCCTCATTGTCCCATAGCATTTCCTCACTGTCCCATAGCATTCCCCCACTGTCCCATAGCATGTCCTCATTGCCCTCATGTCCCATAGCGTTTCCTCGCTGTCCCATAGCATTTCCTCACTGTCCCATAGCATTTCCTCACTGTCCCATAGCATTTCCTCACTGTCCCATAGCATTTCCTCACTGTCCCATACATTTCCTCATTGTCCCATAGCGTTTCCTCACTGTCCCATAGCATTTCCTCACATTGTCCCATAGCATTTCCTCACTGTCCCATACATTTCCTCACTGTCCCATAGCATTTCCTCACTGTCCCATAGCATTTCCTCACTGTCCCATAGCGTTTCCTCACTGTCCCATAGCATTTCCTCACTGTCCCATAGCGTTTCCTCACTGTACCCATACATTTCCTCACTGTCCCATACATTTCCTCATTGTCCCATGGAGTTTCCTCACTGTCCCATACATTTCCTCACTGTCCCATAGCATTTCCTCACTGTCCCATAGCATTTCCTCACTGTCCCATAGCATTTCCTCACTGTCCCATAGCTTTCCTCTCTGTCCCATACATTTCTTCATTGTCCCATAACGTTTCCCCACTTTCCCATACATTTCCTCATTGTCCCATAGCATTTCCTCACTGTCCCATACATTTCTTCACTGTCCCATAGCATTTCCTCACTGT